ATTTCTTCTCTTTGGTGACTCTTAGAGACCTTTTCCTCATTACCTGGTAAATGGTAACACTGCAATGCCAAAATTCCACTGTTCTGCCCCCCACCCCCCCAAAAAAAAGTGTTGCAGTCTTTCACTGAAAATAAAAGATAATTTGTTGTTTGCAAGGCAGAGAAGAAACCCCCTGGCCTTCAACTGTGTTCTGTGTATTGGAGTTTTCCCATATTGAGAATATTTTCCCATAATAATTCCCATAATTTCCCATATCTGTATATTGAGGTTGTACCATTCCCATCCCTGGAAGTGTTCAAGGCCAGGCTGGACAGGGCTTGGAGCAACCTGGGATAGTGGAAGGTGTTTGGGTTGGAACCGAACGAGCTTTTTAAGGTCCCTTCCCACCCAAACCATCCTGGGATTCCGTGATCTGTTGTCCTGTGGCCTTTCTGGGAGGTGCAAACTCCAGCACTGAAGCTGAACTTGGGCATTCAGTGAGTTTTTAAATCCACTGCTTTTTAGTCTTTTTTTATTATTTTAAATCCATCCTGCTTTTTATTCCTTGGCTTTGGGGAGGTGGAGCTGTGACCGTGGGTGACTTACTCCTCTGACAGCTGCAATTTAAGAGGCATTTAAATAACCCCTTTATCCAATGCTGAACATTTCTCTTCACCCCTCCTAAGAAGTCAGAGGAAAGCTGAGTTTTATGCCCCTTTATTGCCTCTAAACTTGTGTTTAAAATGAAACCACAGTGAATATTATCTGCACATTCCATGCACAGCTGACACTGAAAAACCTCCACCGCTTGTGGTGTGATGGGAAGGGTAGGAAAAGGGGAGGAAAAGGCACAACAGGAAGGGGAAAAGGGACCTTCAATCAGCAGCTGAATTCCTTTGGGATGTTCCCCCTCACCCCATCACTGCTCATCCCTTTTCCTCCCCCTGTTCCCACCGTGGTTGTGCTTTAGGAGGTGGAGGAGGCTCCTGGTAATTGGTTAATGAACTATTTTCAATTCAATTCCTGGCTGTACTTGCCATGGAAAATTAACAGTCCTTGGGTATAAATATGACCCCTACCCCTGGATTAATTTGATTATGTGAGAATCTCAGTTTTCATTTAAAAATAATAACTTTCTAGCTGCTCTGATAAAACAAGTTTGGATATGCAGTCTAAATATTCCCTGGTGGCTTAAAAAAATCAAAAGATGAATATGAAGAACATATGAATCTCTTATTAATAAAATTTAAATGTCCTCAAATCTTTACTGTGATGGCTTGAGATTGAATAGTTTGAGACCAAGAAAATTCCTGATTTTCACTCATTGCTGGATCAGCATTCTCTGAAAGCCAAGTCTGTTTTAAGCAGCTTCATTTGGGTTCACAAATAGACAAATTATATTCATTAATGACTGTGGGTACCTTAACCCACAGTTTCTTTACATTTGTTCTGCTGCATTTGTAGCAGAACAATAAATCTGGTGAGAACTGAAGTCAGGCTGGTTTGAAAGGAAATGTTTTTTGCAGAACTTTCTCACTGGAACACATTTCATTGTTAAATTTATCTGTTACAGGTGTGATGCCATTGACACACGTGGAAGTGTGAGGATAAATGGAATGCATACCAATAAATGAAATGAATAGGTCTGGGCACTGGAACTCGATTGTCCACGCTGAGAAATTGTTGGGATGGGATCAAACATGATCTCAGCTGGGATAATTAACACTCAAACAGTTTCTGGACATGACTTGTCTCTTTTAATAGTTTAGTAATAAAGATATGGACTAATGTGGTGGGGGCAGCAGGGAGGGAGGGGATTCCTCACCTCTTCTCAGCCTCAGGAGATCCCACCTGCAGCTCTGGGGTCTCCAATATAGGAGGGACGTGGAGCTGCTGGAGCAAGTCCAGAGGAGGCCACAGAGATGCTCCCAGGGCTGGAGCCCCTCTGCTCTGGAGCCAGGCTGGGAGAGCTGGAGGGGTTCACCTGGAGAAGAGAAGGATCCAGGGAGACCTGAGAGCCCCTTCCAGAGCCTAAAGGGGCTCCAGGAGAGCTGGAGAGGGACTGGGGACAAGGGATGGAGGGACAGGACACAGGGAATGGCTTCCCACTGCCAGAGGGCAGGAATTAGATGGGAGATTGGGAAGGAATTCTTCCCTCTGAGGATGGTGACATGCTGGGATGGAATTCCCAGAGGAGCTGTGGCTGCCTCATCCCTGGAATTGTTGAAGGCCATGTTGGATGGGGCTTGAAGCAACCTGGGCTAGTGGAAGGTGCCCCTGCCCGTGGCAGGGGTTGGAATGGGATGATCTTTAATGTTCCTTCCAACCCAAACCATTCCTTGATTCCATGATAATCCATGCATGGACAGAACTTGCAGTCAGTGAATCTTCAGCCAAGGGCAGTTGTAGGAGTTTGTTCAAAACCATCAAGCAAAAGACTGCAAAACCAGAGCGGTGCCAGAGAAATGGTTTAGCAATTTTTGCCTATCTTTCCACGGGTTGTGCTGTGTCACAGATCCAGAGGATGTGGGAAGGATTACTTTTATTTAAACCCACAGAATTTAAGGAGCAGGAGCCAGGCACTGCACCTGTGTGAAGCAGATTTTGCCTGAGGCGAAACTGAATGTCGAATCCTCCAGGACATGTGTTGCTTTCAGCTCATGCTGGTCGTGTTCAGTGGAGAACAAATGATATTTCTCAGGTTTAGTTTGGGAAATTTGGGGGAGTTTTGGCAGTTGGGGATGGAGCAGCATTTGGCAGCTTTGAGAGGAAGTCCCTCTGTGGTTCGGTTGTGAATTTGGATCTGTGAAAATTCTGACAGTTTGAAAATAATAGAACAGAAGGAAAAATCTCTTCCTGACCAACTGGCTGTTGAAACCCCCAGGGGTCAAGAGGTAAAAAAATGACATAAAGACATCCCTGGAAGTGTTGAAGGCCAGGTTGGATGGGGCTTGGAGCAACCTGGGCTAGTGGAAGGTGTCCCTGCCCATGGCAGGGGGTGGGATGAGATGAGCTTTAAGGTCCCTCCCGATCCAAACCATTCTGGGATTCTCTAATCCGTGTCCTCCCAATTCCAGTTTTCCAAATGTCTGAATGCAGTTGTGTTCCATTGATGGATTAGCCTCTTAAATATGAACAGAATTTGGGTGGAATGTGTTGCTTTCCCCATTGGAAGCTGAAGGAAGATCAGTGTTCCCTGACACTCTCCATGTCTCTGTAACACCAGGTTTTATCCCACTTACTGCAAGCCCTTATCTCTGGAATGATGATGGGCTTGGAAAAGTCATTTATTCTTTCTGTTACAAGGTATAGGGAAAAGCCTGTTAATTTTTTTTTTTTTCTAATTCCATGCTGCCAATGCACTTCTGATTTTCTGGAATTATTCAGTCCAATTTGTAGGTGAGAATTAAAATGCTTTCACGTGAAAAACTGTGGAGTAAAAAGCCCCAGACTGGGATTTCTCTGATTGGTGTCTTTGTGGAGAGTTTTTATTACTTATATGTTGTTATTTATGTTGTTACTTTCTTCCTGGAGTTGAATGTATATCTTGTAAAAGTCCTTTTAAATTTGGGGGTTTTCTTTTACTATTTATTGCATCTAAGCAGGAAACACTGGAAAAACTGCAAACCAAAGAATGAATGACAAGAAAATGAATTATTTTATCTGGCAGAGATCTTTGCAATGGAAGTGTGAAGGCATTGGAAGACAACTTGAGCACTCTGAAAATATTACTTTCATTCAAGCCCATCTCACCTCTAAAAGTTTAATTTTGATTTTAATATATTGAAAGCCTCCCCATTTGAAATGAAAACCGCTTCATACATCATCTGTGTCACTCACTCCTTAAATGAAAGCAGCTCTCAGGGCCGGGGCAGGGTTAGTTTTATTTGATCTTACAAGATGTCTCATAATTTTTCTGCCTGTTCGCTCCTCTCAGGTGGCTGTAGATCATGTTGGGAGCACCAGCTCGGGCTTATGAGGTTGAAACCTTGCTCGTGTGACTCCCACTCTGGAACCTCCCAGCAATTTGCTCCCTAAAGCCCCTCTCCCGTGTCTCAGAGCCTTCAATCTTCCTAAATGCGACCGACTGACTCGTGGCACCTCTTGCTCCGGTGGCAATAACTCTGATTTTCCCTCCTCGTTGAGTGTTGATGAATGTTTGATGCCAGCTGGGATTAGGAATGTGCCTCCCTGACGTTGCTTTCAGAGAATTCTTCCTTTGATCTGTTTTATTCTTCGCCAGGCTCAGGACTAAAGGAAGTAAAATGATGCGTGGAACTGAGAAAATGTCTTGGTTTTCTCCCTGCGAAGTGTTTTGTGGGCAGAAATGAGTGTTTTGAATTCAGGCAGTTTTCTTTCCTGCCACCCTTGTTGATGATGAATCTTGGGAGATGGAGAACTCAGTGGGGGGATGCCAGAGACAAAGGGTTTAAACTGAAAGGGGGGAGGTTTAAATTGGAGACTGGGGAGGAATTATTCCCTGTGAGGGTGATGAGGGGCTGGGATGGAATTCCCAGAGAAGCTGTGGCTGCCCCATCTGTGGAAGTGTCCAAAATCAGGTTGGATGGGGCTTGGAGCAACCTGGGATAGTGGAAGGTGTCCCTGCCCATGGCAGGAGGTTGGAACAAGATGATCTTGAAGGTCCTTCCATCCCAAACCATTCCATGATTCTCTGATCATATAAACAAGCAAAGGAGAATTATGATTCCCTGTTTTTCCTCCTTGCATGAGGAGGCTCCTTTCAAGAGCAGGGATTGCTGCTCTGGAGGTTCCTGTCACATCAGGATCAGCTCATTTATCTCAACCACCAATCTGAAATTCATCCTCAGTTTCTCTCCTGGGACTTTGGGACAGTATTTTTAAAACACAGAGAGCATGAAGTTCCACGTTTAGTGATTGTACAGGTTGGCTTTCAGAAACCAGACTTCAAGTTTCAACAGATCTAAAGAAATAAAGAGTTGTTTTTATGCAAATCATGTATTCTATTACATTTTCACTTGTTTTTTTTTCCCCTTTTCCAGATAAACATCACGTCAATGGAAACAGAATGGTGGAACCTTTCCCAGAGGGAACACAGATGGCTCTGTTTGGTAAGACATCAGTTCTAAAACAAAAGCTCTAAGCTTTGCAGTGTTCCTGAATTCCAAATTCCTTCATCTCAGCCTGAGTTCTCCAGGTTTTAAAATCTGGGCTGCTCCTGCCATTTTCCAATCACTGCCATCAGCTAAAACCACTGAGCATTTGGGAGACATGGCCATGCCTCCCCAAAAATATGCTAAAAGTATTTTTTTCTTAGTTATACCAAGGGAAAATTTAAACAGCAAGTTCTTGGCATTTTGGGACTCTGTAAGCTTGGGGAAGAGCCTGAGCTAGTTGGCTTTCTAATTCCACCTTACCAAGACAGGGATTTTCCCACCTCTTCTCCAGAAACATCCGTTAATCCTTTAATTGGGATTGCACAGGGGCAATCAAAAAGCAGGAGTTACTTAGGAGTAATTCCTTTAATTGCCCAGAGAGGGTGTGGAGTCTCCTTCACTGGAGATATTCCAGAGCTGCCTGGACCCAATCCTGGGCCATGTGCTCTGGGATGCTCCTGCTGCAGCAGGGAGGTTGGACCTGGCGACCCACTGTGCTCCCCTCCAACCTGACCCGTTCTGTGACGGCTTAAAAAGACCTACAAAAGCGAAAAGATGACAACCAACCACACAATTGTGTAGCTACAGCCTGTTTGCAGTGAATTTTCCTACTTCTTGGGTGGTTTTGGAGGCAGCAATAAAATAAAACAGTGCTAAAATGTAGTGCTGGGCTGTAAACACCGATCCTTTCACCTGCTGGAAACGCAGTGGGGTTGATTACACAGCTCCCTCTTCTGCAAAACCTCCTCCTGATGCTCCTATTAATGTTGCATTATTTGTTTCATGCTGTGACCTCTGGTTCTGATGGAGGTACAAGGGGAATGGTACCCTGGGCTTTGTTGCTGCAGCTGCAACAGAACCTCACAGGTCTCAAAAGACTCTTTAGATGATTCTGAAGCTCTCCTGTTGTTTGTTCAGCATCAATCATTGCTGGAGATGCATCTGTTGTTCTGCAGGATGAAGAGATGTGTCCTTGTTCCTACAATGGAGAAAAAGCCACTTTGGAGGGTGAGGGTGGTTCTTTAATGGAAATCTTTTAATGCTACTCGTCCAGTGAGCTCTTAATCCAGCTTCCAGCTGATTTTAGGGCATGAAAAGCACAGGGGGAGCACAAGCACCTCACTGGAGGCACTGGAGTTTTACATCAAAAATCAATGTGTCCCTTGAGGTCTATTCACAAGTTCAGTGATGAGGTTGTGGACTCCCCACCTCTGGAAGTGTCCAAGGCCAGCTTGGACAGGGCTTGGAGCAACCTGGGGTAGTGGAAGGTGTCCCTACCCATGGCAGGGAGTGAAAACAGATGATCTTTGAGGTGCCTTCATCCCAAACCATTCTGTGTTTCTGTGAAACTCAAGATGTGTTTGTGTTACAAGTGATAAAGTAGAAGCCATTCAATAAATGCTTGTCTAGGAAGTTTCCTTGTAGTTTTTATGCTTGTAGATATTTTGATTTAAAAATATTTTGCCTGTAGTGAGTGATTTTGACCTAACACCTGACCAAGACTCAAAATCTGAACATATATAGTGGGGGTCAATAATGTTTTGAAAATAAGCATTTCAGGGGCTAAATTCAACTTTTGGACAGAGTGGTAAAAAAAAAATAAATGCTTCAAAGCTACAGAACAACTGCAGATTTCAATAAACTAGTACTTTCATCAGTGCTGGAATTGTAATTCTTTGCATATTTTAAACACATTTAAATGCTCTGCTCTCTTGTCATAAAATCAAGAATTGGTTTGGGTGGGAAAGGACTTTAAAGAACACCTCGTTCCAACCCCCTGCCATGGGCAGAGACACCGTCCACTATCCCAGGTTGGTGGATTTTAAGTGCTTCTTTTCTTGCTGCAAGACTCCAATTTACCTCAAACCACCTCTTTATTCACTGAGCTTTACACGTTCCCTTATTTCTCTACAAGGAAGCGTCTTGCATATGGTGCATTCATGGCAGGGCTTTTATTTACCTCCAGTAAAGTCTGGCAATAGTTCAGATTTGTAATTATAACACTTCTAAAACATAGGACTAAATTGAGTTGTATTTGCTTGACATACAGTGGCTCGTAATGAGATAATTGGTTTCTTGACGTAAACAAAGCATAGACAGAAAGAGGATGTTCAGTAACTGGTAAGATCTAATTATGGATGTTTTAGGGCTGGCAAACAGATCCAAGCCTGGTCACCTCCTGCTCCACATTTGTTAGACAGCAGCACATTCCAGTAATTCCCCAGAGCTGGATTATTGTTGTGCTTTGCTGTGGCTGCCCCTAGATCCCTGGAAGTGTCCAAGGCCAGCTTGGATGGGGCTTGGAGCAACCTGGGATGGTGGAAGGTGTCCCTGCCCATGGCAGGGGGATGGAACTGGATGATTTTTAAGGTCCCTCCATCCCAAACCATTTTATTTCAATGTTAAAGACTTGGTCAGGGCAACTTCACAACTGAAGGAAAAGAATTTCATATGAAAAGGGGATGATGTGTTGAAGAATGGATAAATCTGGCAAAAAAGAGTTTCCTTTACTCACTGTTGAAACAGCTCCTGGTGGCCTTGGCAGATAAAAATCTGTGTTAGGAAGCCCTTTGGTCTGACTCAATTTTCAGTTACTACTTTTCACCAAGAAAAGAAAATCTCAGGAAACAAAGTTTGGCCACCAAGAGAAAATACCTTTTGTTTGGTTTTTTTTGTAGACAGTAAAAATAGAACAAACAATTTTTCTCTCTCGGTCAAAGAAAAAGAAGAAAACTTTAAATGATAGTACAGGTCAGCAGATATTTTGTCTCTGTCTAAGGAGAATGGAAGAGTTGCTGATGTTGAAACAGGTGTGTGAGAAACATCTACAGAGACATCAGCAGATGTTACAAGGATCATGTTGTGGAACAGTTGAGAGCCAGAGGGAGGGTCTTCCAGAAGGGATCCGTGTTTCTCATGCTAATTCTCTTTAAACACCTTGGAAAGGTGAAGGAAGGGCACTAATTGGCTGGATTTGTAGAGCTCTGAAGCATTAATGGTGTCCTGTGTTCACCTGGTGGTGGAAAAATGGACACTGGATTTCTGTAGATCTGGATTGAGAGAACAAACCTGTAAAGATAAGGCACAACAAAAAGGCCTAAACAGAAGATGCTCTGTCCCTAAACCAAATCATGTTCCTACTCCTACCTTTCCAGGATGTTTATTAAAGAAATGTATCCTTAGTTCCCTTTTTTTTTTTTTTTCCTTCCTTCCAGAACCTGACTTTGTCTTTTTGTTGCCTCTTCCAGAGAACTGAAACACAGCCCAGATCCCTGACCCTGCTGTTGGGTCCCGGTTCATCCTTATTGCCACCTCTGCCTAAACATGGGGTCACAGACTGGTTTGGGTGAGAAGGGACCTTAAAGGTCCTCTCATTCCACCCCCTGCCATGGGCAGGGATGCCTTCCCTTATCCCACGTGGCTCCAAGCTCTGTCCAACCTGGCCTTGGACACTTCCAGTGATGACGCAGTCACAGCTTCTCTGGGAATTTCATCCCTACCCTCACAGAGAATTCCTTCCCAATATCCCATCTCTCCCTGCCTTCTGTGGCAGTGGGAAGCCATTGCTCCTTGTCCACTCTCTCCAACCCTTGTCCCCAGTCCCTCTCCATCTCTCCTGGAACCCCTTTAGGCTCTGGAAGGGGCTCTCAGGTCTCCCTGGATCCTTCTCTTCTCCAGGTGAACACCCCCAGCTCTCCCAGCCTGGCTCCAGAGCAGAGGGGCTCCAGCCCTGGGAGCATCTCCGTGGCCTCCTCTGGACTCTCTCCAGCAGCTCCACGTCCTTGTGCTGTTGTTCCCCAGGGCTGGAGGCAGCTCTGCAGGTGGGGTCTCACCTGAGGGGGCAGAGGGGCAGAATCCCCCCCTCCCCTGCTGCCCACGCTGTGGGATGAGCCCAGACATGGGGGGTTTCTGGGCTGGGAGTGCACGTGGACAGGGCATGTCCAGCTTTCAGGACCCCCAAATCCTTCTCCACTGATCCTCTCCTCCCTCACATCCTCACCTGAAGTGCAATGCTCTGTTTGCTGGGCCAACCTTCAGGGGATTTTCAGTCAAAAGCCCCAGCCAGGGAAGGTTCTCTGTTTAAGATTTAAAAGTCTAAGCTGGGAAGCCTTGAACCAAAAATTGCCCCCTAAGCCTGTTGTAAAATCAGGTGATAAACACAAAAATAACCACAATTCTGGGACCTTTGGAGATTAAAATCCCCATATTCAGTTTTTCTTGTCCTATGGAATACCATGGACATTATGCATTAAATGCTACTCTGATTTGATGGAATTGTGCCTCAGCTTTGTGGAGGTAAATGGGCAGTTACAGAGCTCTGCCGAGACAGACCCAGAGAAAAACAAAGCGCTTGGTCTTACCAAGGACATTTCCTGACATTTATAAACACTAATAAGGGACAATGAAATGTCCCTAATGCAAAGTGAAAGCTGTCCTTGATCAGCACAACCCTTCGGAACATTCTCTTCTTTCAAAGGAGCCACATCTCCTTTTTCTTTCTGAAAACAAAAGTAATGTGGCCTTCGAACACAATCTCGGGGCTTCTCCATCAGGGAGTTTTTTTATGCTAATTTGGGTTTCTTGAGGTAGTGAAGAATTCAGCTTTGTGTGGGTTTTCACTTAGAGTGGATGATGCACATTAGGGAAGATCTGGAGGTTTTTAAAAGTCAGATTGCAGCTTTTTAATCAGCATCATTCAGCTTAAAACAACCTTTTCATTATGTTTTCGGGACTTTTCCACAGAAAGGAGTAGAAGAGACACAGATCATTTTCATGAGTTTGGGGACAGGGCTCGGTGATCTCCAGCAGCAGGAATTGTCTTCAAGAAGTGTGTTATTTTTCTATCTATCTAATTATTAATTTTTAAAATTTAGGGGGGGGGATATTTACTTTATTTTATTTATTTATACTTTATTTTCTATGCCAAAAAGCCAGCAGAGCACCTGGATGACTTCAACAATTGCAAAAGCCTTGCAGAGAAGTAATTCCCTGCCAGTGATAAATAGGAATACAGCAATGACTGGGATGAACATATGCTTGGCATCATTGTGAGTTGGTTTAAGTTTAAAATAGAAGTAAATTATCCTGTTAATGACTAAAGACCGCCCTTCTCAGATGGATGCTGCTTTGCAGGAGATCTGTGTGTCTCTGTGTGTTTGTTTATGTGCTGGGATGGCCACATTTACCATCAGCATTTCTCCTTTGGTTCCTGCTAATAAAGCACAGAGTGATGAGGATTTATTGTGTTCAGCTGTGAAAAAGTAGGTAAAGGAGGTTTTTGGAGGGAGAAAATGGTGTTGTTTTGATAATTTTAGACAACCTGTGACATTCACAAAGCACTGTCAGCCCATCTTGCAGATCCTAATGGATTTATCTTCTCAAGGCTGCTGTCACAGCCTGGCAGTTTGAGAACTGGGGATGTGAGACTGAGAAAATAGGGCCCTATACTGAAAAATATGGATTACTTACTCAGTTTAGGGGAATTCAGAGTGATTGTCCTGATTTTCAGGTGTTTTTCCTCACCTGATCAAGCTATTGGTGATCTTAAGAAATATATCATTAAATACCTCTGAACCTTTCTCTTGATCTCATTCTTGCGTTCAGCTCCTTGGGCTGGAGTTCAGCTCAGTAGATTTTAGGTACAATCATCTAAACTTGTCTTCAACAATTTCCCCCCAGTCAGAGAGGACATATTTTGAGGTTGGTCCAGAAAAATCTTCCTTCAGAGAGGAATAAGGGACTTTGAAGATCATCTCATTCCACTGGAACTGAACCCTGGATCTCCTGGATCGTTGGAACTGAGCTGATTGTCGTGGGAGCTTCTTCTGTCACATGGGAACACAAACAGTGGAGATTCACGTCTTGCATGAGGTTGGCTGGGAAGAATTGCTCCTAGAGCATTGCTCCCAGAATTTCCCAGTACATATTTATAAAATATTATTTATATTCTTAAATATTTATGTGTTTATATAATAATAATAAGGGTACCTTAGTTACCCTTGTCTTTA